GCGAATTTGTCAACGCCAATGGTGTTCAAGTGGTGCTCCAGTTGTTTTGGGATTGCACCCAAGGAGCCTATGACTATTGGTACTACCCTTGCTTGCTTTTGCCACAGTCTTTCTATTTCAATTTGTAGGTCTTTGTATATTGTTATCTTCTCCAGTTCTTTCTCATCTATTCTGCTGTCTCCAGGCACTGCCACATCCACTATCCAGACTTTTTTGTCTTTCTTATCAACAATTGTTAAGTCTGGCATGTTATGTTGCAGCTGCTTGTCTGTTTGAATTATTATTATTATTATTATTATTATTATTATTATTATTATTATTATTATTATTATATTTTCCAATGCTGCTATTCTACATTCTATGGTGAGATGAAATGAGTGACAGTTGAATTCCTCCCTCCCTCTGGCTTTTATGCCATACTGTAAATTCACTAAGGTGGGATAGAAAGCCCCTTCTCCATTAAGGTACGACAGACATTTTTACACCTGCTGAGACTGCGAAAAGCCTTTGGGTAATCAATAAATAAAAGATGAGCTGGCTTATTCACAACTGTATCATCTTTTATGATCAAACACAGACGGGGGGGGGGAATTTTTTCTGCCCACCCACCAGACAAGTCTTTGATTTTTGACAGGCAGGGCCTGCCGTAGAGACCCTCCTCTCCATTTCTCTTCTCTTACCGACAGCTTTCCGTCTCTGCACATTTAACTTTACCTGTACTTTGACTGACCTCTCTTTGAGACGCTATCTCTGGGGAAGGAGGAGGAAAACATCTCAAGCCTATTTGAAATAACTATTTCGCTGGAAAGACTGTGGAGGATGTCTTGGTGGCATCTAGGCATCTAGATACCTTTAATATTGCCATCCGTTGTTTTTTTAAAAAGCAGGTTTTGAAAGAAGGGAAAGAAAGAAGGCCCTGCCAAGCTTGGCGAGGAAGATCCCACAAAAGGAAAAGGAGAACATATTTCCCTCACGGATGTTCTTCAGGAAAACAGAAAGGAAAAGGAGAACATATTTCCCTCACGGATGTTCTTCAGGAAAACAGAAAGGAAAAGGAGAACATATTTCCCTCAGGGATGTTCTTCAGGAAAACAGAAAGGAAAAGGAGAACATATTTCCCTCAGGGATGTTCTTCAGGAAAACAGAAAGGAAAAGGAGAACATATTTCCACGTCTATCCCTTATCGTAAAAGTCCTGCATTGTAGATTTGAAAGAGCAACAAGGAAGCTGCACTCAAGCAGAAACAAAACAACGAAATCAAAATGAAATGGATAAGCCAGCACGTTTCGTTTAATGTTTGTTTAATGTTGATTCGTCAAATGGAAATTACAAATTCTAAGAAGCAAAATGAAAACAAGAAAAAAAATGTGACAGGGATGATAGGCACGTTAGTGCACTTACGCATGCTCCCTTAAGGACTTCTTAAGTACGTTTTAATAGATTTTTTCCTCCATAGGGAGGAAAACAACTTATTATCCTGCAAATAATTCGGGTTCAGGAAAAATTGTCATGTAATTTACAACTTTTGCATTGTTTTGATCAAGGCAAAGCTGTAGATGGAATCTACATAGACCTCTGCAAAACGTTCGATTCAGTAATACATGATAAACTTTGTCCATCATCTGGGCACCCTGATTCTTCTTCCTGGCTATGCCCAAATTCATCTCCAATTTTTAGAGAACATTGTCATTAATATTTGGCAGAAGGACCCCAGATTCAAAATACACTTTAAAAATAAATAGGTAAAGAAGATAATAATAATAATAATAATAATAATAATAATAATAATAATAACAACAACAACAACAATAATAATAATAAAGTTGGAAGGGACCTTGGAGGTCATCTAGTCCAACCCCCTGCTCAGGCAGGAAACCCTATACCATTTCAGACAAATGGCTGTCCAGTCACTTCTTAAAAACTTCCAGTGTTGGAGCCTTCACAGCTTCTGGAGGCAGGTTGTTCCACTGGCTAATTCTTCTAACTGTCAGGAAGTTTCTCCTTAGTTCTAGGTTGCTTCTCTCCTTGATTAGTTTCCATCCGTTGCTTCTTGTCCTGCCTTCAAGTGCTTTGGAGAATAGCTTGACTCCCTCTTCTTTGGGGCAGCCCCTGAGATATTGCAACACTGCTATCATGTCCCCCCCCTTGTCCTTCTCTTCATTACACTAGACATATCCAATTCCAGCAACCGTTCCATCTATGTTTTAGCCTCCAGTCCCCTGATCATCTTTGTTGCTCTTCTCTGCACCCTTTCCGAGTCTCAACATCTTTTTTACATCATGGTGACCAAAATTGGATGCAGTATTCCAAGTTCGTTATAAAGTGGTATTAACACTTCACATGATCTTGATCCTATCCCTCTGTTAATGCAGCCAAGCACTGTGTTAGCTTCTTTCGGCAGCTGCAGCACACAACTGGCTCATATTTATTTATTTAATCAGCTACTCAATCATCCAACCTACCATCCCATCATCCCACCATCCAACCAACCAACCAACCAACCAACAATCACCCATCAATAATTAAGCAGTTACATTAGCTTTCAAGCCAACGGAGAAAGGGAAATGGGAAGCATCAGTTGGCACTGCCAATAAAATGCTAGCTGGATAATTGACCAGGTGGATCTCCATTGAAAAGAGGTGGACCAACAAGACAGAACTTTGTTGTGGTTTAAATGTTCATAAAGAGGCTGGGATAAACAGGCCTAGGGAAAGGAGAGCCCTTTGATCTTTTCAGGTTATAAATTTGGGTGCTTGGCTGCTGTGAATGGGAGCGTCCTTATGGCTGTGTCTATTGATGAATCATTAAAGCTGGACCAAAAAAGCTGAATAGTTATTAAGAGCCACTTAAAATCTGACATTGGGAATCAAGTGAAAGATCGGAGAAGTAGCTGAAGCATTCAGGGAGGAAACTAGGAGTAGGTAATCTATGTGCATGACTGAGTGCCTCTATGTATTTATGTCCTTTTGGGTTTCCAGTGTACTGCAACCTCCAGTTCTAAATCTTTTCTGCTTATTGGTTGTGAAGATAATCTAAAATATCTGGAAAGCATAAGTTTCCAGGAGCCGGTCCTGTGAGTCTTTGAAGTTGGATTAGTCTTTATGCTGCCTGCTGTTGGGCTCCGCTCGCCTCCACTCTCCACTGTCGCTACATTTGCAAATAAGTAGAAATTGCAAAGCCTCGCAGAATTGCTGAAGTTTGCTGGATAGAAAACCCTAACCCAGAAACCAGCCACAGGAGAAAATAGGGGAAAGCTTAATGTTTTACAGGCAGTCCTTAACTTGTGACCCTACTGGAACCTGGAATTTCCATCCTAAGTCATGATGGTCATAAGTTGAGGCATCCACATTACCAGACTTGACTTTATGACCTTTTTTGATGGTCATTAAACAAATCAAGGCATTGTTAGGGCGCTTTTTGACAGAAAAATATACCATCGTGGCATGGCTGGCTCAGGAATTCTGGGAGTTGAAGTCCACGAGTCATAAAAGAGCCAAGGTTGCCTACCCCTGGTATAGGGTCTCCTGCCTGAGCAGGGGGTTGGACTAGATGACCTCCATGGTCCCTTCCAGCTCTGTTCTAATTGATTGATTGACTTCTTGCAGTACTCTACGTGCAATTTATCCAGCTCTGGAGATTTTTAGCTCAAAGTAAATGGAAATTCCTGGTATATTCCTCTCAGTCCTAGTTCTGCCCTTCATTTTGCTCTTCACGTTTATCTGATGGACCACTTAGCACTTGATCTGAGAAGAATGAAGCACAACAAGAGTTGGAGAGCTCTTTTTATTATTACCTTTCACCGTGTTGACATTTTAGTTGAGAAGCTGATACACTGGGTTTTCCTCTGACTTTTATATTGAACAGTTTATATTCAAGAGCTGACAGGGGCAGTAAACACAGGCTACTCAAAAGTAATCTTCATTTGAACATAACATTCTACTTAATTAACATGACTAATATATTTTACTCCTCTGTTCCTTAAATCGTGTTCCTTAAATCCATGGAACAGCTAGAAACCCAAGGATCATGTAACCAATTCAGAGCAGCTGAGAACTTTCTTCAGAAAAAAGAAACTATTCCAATAGTCAACCACTTCCATTCCACAAATTTCCCTATCCTAGAACGTGATAGGGAACCAAAACTTAGAATATAGAATATCTTTTTTCAATTTTTTTTTATTAATTTTCTATGATTACATTTGATTAGTGCTTAATAAACATCGTGCTGTCCAGGTTAATTTGTTTGCTTAATAATACAAGTTGCCTTCTTAGTTTCTACCCATTTTTTCCCAACCATTGATAAAATAAATTCCATCTTTGAAAATATTCTGCATCTTCTTTCTCTTTGATCCTCAATGTAAGTCTGTCCATTTCAACGCCGTCCAATATCTTCTTGATTATCTCTTCGTCTAGTGGCATTCCTTCCTTCTTCCAGTGCTGAGCAAATACAATCCTCACTGCAAAATAGAATATCTTTATTGTCATTGTGTAACTCACAACAAAATTAAGTGCTGACCACAGTGCACACTACACCCAAGTAAAAACCACAAATAAGAACATACATTATATACACACATCCTTCACATTTTATTCACCATTGTGCTGCCCCTAACATTGCACTTCAATGTTGAACTATACTGTGGTATTTAATATGGTTACAGTTCTGGGGTAAAAACTATTTTTCAGCCTGTTTTGTCTTTCTTTTTTATTATCCTATACCAGCTGCCAGATGGTAATAGTTCAAAAACAGAATGTCCGGGATGAATATTTTGAGCTTTCCTAAGACAATGGGAACTGTACAGTTCGTCCGGGGGGGGGGTGAGGAGAGGGCAGCCAATAGTCCTCTGGGTGATGGTAATAACCCTCTGGAGCACTTTCCTATCTGCTACTGTGAAGCAAGCAAACCGCATACAAATGCAATATAATGGAGAACTATCGTGTTTGGGGTACTGGTTAAGGCATCAAGGTTAGAAACCAGGAGATCATAAGTTCTAATCCCACCTTAGATACAAAATCTGCTTGGTGATCTTGGGCCAATCATGCTCTCTCAGCCCTAGGAAGAAGCAAAAAAAGGCAAATCATTTCTGAAACCTTGCCAAGAAAACTGCAGAGACTTGTCCAGGCAATCTCCAGAAGTCAAAGTTTAATTTAAAGGCATTTTAAAAAAAAAAAAGCTGAAGAAAAAATGATGATTGGATCTGTCATCTCATCAGCAATCAGTTGGTGTCAAACACTTGTATATACTGCAGCTGGATTCTATAAAACTAGGTGTGATTTTAAGAGGGTGCAGAATTGAATCTGTTGCCAAACTGGCAGGCTAGGCTTGGTTAGACAATGTAAAATACAGATTACCTGGCACACACACACAAAAGCTGATTTTGCTCTCAACACTCCCTTGTTTTTTTTGACAAAGAGGAGAAGAAGATTCAGTAAAAATGCAAAAATGATTGATTCAAAGAGGAAAAACAAAGCTAGTCTGGTCTAGTGGTTAAGACACCAGGAGAGAAACTGGGAAATCATGAGTTTTAGTCCCATCTTAGGCAAGAAATCCAGTTTAGCAATTTCTCAATGCCTTTGTCTCTGCAGCTTCATATTCTTTCCTTGCATGCTGGTAGGATACTAATAAATAAATTAGACAAGACAGCTCTCCCCACTTTTGAATTGCCCTCTGTTACCGTTGATTTTGCTTGTCAGAAGGTCTCAAAAGGTGATCACATGACCCTGGGACACTGCAATGGTCATAAATGCAAGCCACTTGCCATGTGTCTTGACGAGAGGATGCTGCAGTGATCTGAAATGTGAAAAATGGTCATAAGTCACAAGTACTGTTGTAACTTGGAATGGTCAATAAATGAACGGTGTTCTCCTTCTTTGGCTGTCCTTAAGATCTCCCAGGACTGTGTCCTCGAAGTTTAGAGCAGGGGTCTTCAAACCTGGCCCTTTTATGACTTGTGGACTTCAACTCCCAGAATTCCTCAGCCAGGCACGCTGGCTGAGGAATTCTGGGAGTTGAAGTCCACAAGTCATAAAAGGGCCAGGTTTGAAGACCTCTGGTTTAGAGGCAAAACATGTAATTATTTCAGCACCATTTCCCATTTATTTATTTATTTATTTTAAAGGAAAATAGGCATATTAAGCAGAGAGAGAAAGAGTGAGCCAGCTTGTAAAATATGCAAATTCCAGCTTCATGGATTGTTGCTCTTAGTAGCTGGATTTAAAAAAAGGACACTATGGCCTCCAGTCATAAAAAAAAATTGTTCACTCCTGGCACAGGACACACAATGGGGTGTTTCCAGATTGAAGACGCCTTGGGCTTCCAATCAAAAGGCATTCTGGGGTTACGCCACCTTTTCCCCCATGCTAAATCCACCCCCACCCCCCTCAAAAAAAGAAAGGATTGAAGAAGTAATGCAAAACCACAAAAAGATTAGAATCAGAATCAGAATCGAGCTGGAAGGAACCTTGGAGGTCTTCTAGTCCAGCCCCCTGCTCAAGCAGGAGATCCTATACCAGGGGTCTTCAAACTAGGCCCTTTTATGACTTGTGGACTTCAACTCCCAGAATTCCTCAGCCAGCGTGCCTGGCTGAGAAATTATGTGAGTTGAAGTCCCCAAGTCATAAAAGGGCCAAGTTTGAAGACTCCTGTCCTAGACCATTTCAGATAAGTGACTGTCTGAACGTCTGAAGGCAAGCTGTTCCACTGGTTGATTGTCCTCGCTGGTAGGAAGTTTCTCCTTCATTAGATGGAGACGAGGAAAAACATCGCTTGGACCAGGGGTTCTCAACCTTGGCAACTTTAAGACTTGTGGACTTCAACTCCCAGAATTCCTCAGCCAGCTTTTTGAGAACCTCTGGCTTGGACTCTTTCACGTCTTGTAAATGAAGCAGAGTCCTGCAAGGGTAAAACATTGCCCAGAAAACTTAAGTTCTCCCACCGCATCGCCCCTAGACGGATTTCTCTCCCCCCCCCCCGTTTTACAGAGCCTTTTTTTTTCCCCTCCTCCGGTTCGGCTGCGCTCCTCTACTGCCCGCGTGGGGACACCCTCGCTCGCTCCTGCCATCCACCCAGCGCGCAGCCCAGAGTTGCTAGCTCCGCTTTGGCTCCTGTCAATCGCGGCGCTTTAAACGCGGCTTAAAGGAAACATCCTCCAGCTTGAGACCAATTGTAGTTTAGCTTTCGTTTTTCACGGCTAAATCTGTTCAGCTGCGGTCTCCGAGACACGGAGAAGCCCGGAGGATGGAAAGGGATGGTGGCAGTTTCAAGAGAAGGCGAGAGCTGTAGCTTAAGGGTTGGGTTGTGTGGGGGTCTTTGGTGCTCTCTGAACTTGATCGTTCGCGAGCCGACGTTTCATTAGCACTGGGGGGGGGGATACTTAGTCGGGGTAATAATGAAATGTCTGCAAGCGACCGACCACGCTCTGAACGGAACGAAAGGACGTTGTTGAACGTTGACGAAAGGAACAGCTTTGTATCCACCGTGTAGCTCCGATCTTCAGGTCTGGCCCTCTATGAATCTGCTTCTCCAAATCTCTCTCTCTCTCTTTTTTTCATACAGAGAGGGGGGGGGGAGAGGGAGAGGGAGAGAAAGGAAGGAGAGAGAAAAAGTCAGAAAGAAAAAAGGGGGAAAGAATGAGGGGGAGAGAGAGACGGAGAGGGGGAAAGGGGGCAGAGGGAGAGAGAGAAAGAGAGGGAGGGAGAGAAAGAGAGGGAGGAGAGATGGGGGAGAGAGAAAAAGGCAGAAAGAAAAAAGAGGGAAAGAATGAGGAGGAGAGACGGAGAGGGGGAAAGGGGGCAGAGGGAGAGAGGGGGGGAAAGAGGGAGAGAGAGAAAGAGAGGGAGGGAGAGAAAGAGAGAAAGAGGGGGCAGAGGGAGAGAGAGAAGAGAGGGAAAGAGAAAGAGAGAAGAGAGAGAGAAGAGGAAGGGGGGGATTTGATGGCTGCTGAAACTGTCCAGAGACTGAACGCTTCGGGACAATCGGTTTTCTCCCGCCGATGCCAACCAGGTTTTCTCCAACGAAAGGCCCCCCTCTTGTGGTCTGGAGCGCTTTCGGGCCGGCGGGTTTTCCCTTTCCTTTTCGACGCAGCAGAAGCAGCAGCAGCTCCGAAAAGGAACTTTAAATCGTCCCTGTCCGCCCCCTCTCCCCGCCTCGCCGGCTTCCCCCCGACCTCTCTTGACTCTGGGGGAAAGAAAAACGTTAGCGCACAAATCGCAGCCTTTTCTCTCGGCGCGTTCACACGATCCGGTGGGTCGGCCAAGCCAGCCGCGTTGTTGCACTTTTAACAGGCGAGGTCTTGAACAAAGAAATCAGAGGCGGGGGAGGGGGGTTGGGTGGGGAAAGGGCGGCCCGATCACCACCACCCGCTGGAAACAGCGCTGGATCCCCACAACCACAAGCGGATCGGTCCTCGTGTGAGCTGGGAAAGGGCGCGTTTTGCGGACTAGCAGCCCTCGGCCTCAGGGTCGGTTGACTCCGCAGCGCAATTGCTCCCTCGCCCCCTCTCGCCCGGTTTGTTACTTACACACACACACACACACACACACACACACACTCGCCCCCCTCTCGCCCGGTTTGTTACTTACTTACACACACACACTCGCCCCCTCTCGCCCGGTTTGTTACTTACACACACACACACACACGCCCGCGCGTGTTCCCTATCCGATGGAGAGCCCGGCCGAGCCAACTCGGCCCAAGACCCCCCTCCGATCCCGGGCCGAGAAGGCAGGCCCCCGCCCGCTGCGCCCCTCCGGAGCCAGTTTTGCACTCGCTCGCATCCACGTGGCTTTCTCGGGGAGAGAGCCCTATATTAGGGCAGGCAGGCTGGCAGGCAGTCCGGCGTGCTCGCGTGGAGGAGGAGGGCGGAGGAGGAGGAGGAGGAGGCGGCGGCGGCAGAGGGGCTGTGCCGGCGCCAAAAGGAGGTTCCCCGCGGTTGGCTCGGACCCGCGAGCGGCCGCGGCCACTTCAGCACGACAAAGGGAGAGGCGGCGAGCTGCCTGGAGGCGGACGCGGTGAGTGAGCGGCTGCCGGGCTGCCTGCTTGGCGGCGTAGCGCGCCCCAGACCTCAGTTTCTCGGGAAGAGCGAGGGGGCGCGACCGCGGGCTCCGCGGGAAGGCGACCGGGTGTCGCGCCGCCCCAGCCGACTGCCCTTTCCCAGGCGGGCTTCCTTCAGGGGCAAAGGAGGAGAGCCGAGCGCCGCCGCGCCTCTGTGGCCAAGCGGAGCGGGAGTCCGTCCCTGGGATAGCCGGCTCGGACGAGCGAGCGAGCGAGCGAGCGGGCAGGAGGGAAGATGGGGAACGCCCGGCTTTGGCGGAAGCCCCTCTGACCCGCGTGTCGCCAGCCGAACGTTGGAACGGCGCCGGAGAGGAGGGTCAGGGTTCCCGGAGGGCAGCGACGGGCGCGGGAAGGAGTCAGCCGGGCAAAGGCGTCTTGGGGAGCGCCTGCCTTGCGGGGAAGCGAGCGCGATGGGGCTCCCCGCTCGGCCGCAACGCGGACCGTGCGGAGGAGGCAGACCGAGACGCCTCCGGGCTCGAGTCGAGGGCGGCTCGGCGAAGAAGCAGCAGCTCCAACTTTCGGGCCGGGATGGGGGAGCCAGCCGTGGACGGGCGTCGTAGGAAGGGAAGGCAGCCTCCGGGGCGGGGGCGGAGGGAAGCGTCTGCCTTGCGCGAGCCGGCTCTCTTCCTTAGCCGGACGGCTGACCGTGTGGAAGAGGCCCCGTCCACCCACCCTGAGGAGAACTGCTGGCCGGCGAAACGGCGCCCGGACTTTCCTTCTCCCGCGCCTTTTCGGCTCCCGCCAGGCCTGAGGGGGGGCGGCGGCGGCTGTTCGCTTCCTCAGCCCGCCGCCTGACAAGAGGCCGAACTGTGGCGGTTGTGACTCTGTGTGCGTGTTTGTGTGTGTTTGTGTCGAGTGAGGGCTCGGCTGAGTTGTGAGGTGGGCGGCGGCAGCTCTGCAGGGTTACGAACCGGGCAGGTGGGGCTTGCGGAGCGGCGGGAGGCGAGGCGCCGGCCGGGGTCGCCGAAAGTGGAAAGAGAGGCGAGGCGGCCCCTTTTTTTGCCTCCAGGAACGGCGCCTCGCCACGTGCTCGGCCGCCGCTCCCTCGCTCGCGTCTCCAGAGACTCGTGTGTACAGCCGGCATTCCGACGATCAGCCGGTCGGAGCTCCTTGCTGCCCTTTGAATTAAGAATAACAATTAAAAAAATGGCTTGGTAGATAAATACAGGTAGTCTTCGACTTAACACCAGTTCGTTTAGTGACCGTTCAAAGTTACAACGGCCCTGGAAATAAAGGAGCTTACGATCGTGTTTTTTCTGCCACTTGCCACCATTGCAGCATCCCCATGGTCAGGTAATCAAAAGTCCGCAGCTTGACAACTGACTCATATTTATGACAGTTGCAGTTTGTGTGTGTGTGTGTGTGTGTGTGTGTGTGTGTCATGTGATCCCCTTTTGCGACAAGCAAAGTCAATGGGGAAGCCCGATTCATTTAACAACTGGGTTAGTAACTTATCAGTTGCAGTGATTCACTTAACAACAGAAGAACGGTAGTAAAATGGGGGAAAATTCAGTTAACAGTTGTCTCACTTGGCAACATAAATTTTGGGCTCAGTTGTGGTCGTAAGCCGAGGACTATCTGTATGAAAGCCTGACAGATGGGAGAGAGGGAAGCACAGCCAGCCACCTCACCCCAACACAGATCTGTGTAGACTGAATAGTGTTGGGCTTTAAAACAACTTTGTTTTAACAGGCTTTATATTTGTAAACAGCTTTGGAAGCTCTGCTAAAAGGCAGTGATTGCATGCATGTTTTAATTACAGTAAGTAAAATGTGAAGTGTATAAAGAGGTTGTTCTTTTTTCAACTTGGCATCCAGGAACGGTTTCAAAAACCCAGAATGCGCACTTCAAACCTTGCCTGAGGTTTGTGATCTCAGCACTTCTAGATCTGGGAAGTTGGCACCATGTATTTACTCAAAAGTAGGCTTGCACAACACAACCTTTAACTTACAGCCAGCCATTCATTTAGTGACCGAAATTACAACAGTGCTAAAAAAAGTGACTTATGTCAATCGTTGCAAAGTCAGTGGGAAAGCCAGATTTACTTAACAAGCATGTTACTGCCTTAATAACTGCAGTGATTCACTTTACAACTGTGACAAAGGTTGTAAAAGGGGGGCAAAATTCACTTGTCTTACTTAGCAACAGAAATGTTGAGCTCAATTGTAGTCATAAGTAGGTTTTGGGTTTGATTATTCTTGCTTCCTAGTTAATTGAGTGGACGAGTGCAGACTAGCTGGTTCTCACTCATATTAAACAAAAACAGGGCTTATTCAGTGTGTTATGCTGGATCAGAAGCTGCACCTTAAATAGATAACCCTGGTTTAATGCAGTAAGAAATCTACCCAATGCTTAGCATGAGGTTTGACTATGACAGGGCTTTTCAACCAGCGGTATGGGTACCACCTGTAGTACATTGGCACCTGGCAGGTGGTACGCCACCATCCCAGAAAAGTGGTAGCGGGGAGGGGAATGAGCTGAACCAGTGGCAGCACCACACAAGCCTGAGCGAGAGATGGCTGGAGCTGCAGGGCTGTCAGGGCTCAGTGGAAGCGCCAGGATCAGCAACCAGCTCCAGCTGGAGCTTGGTGCTGATTCTGGCACTTCTAAGCCCAGAAGAAGCACCGATCAGCTGGAATGTTGCAGCATCCCCAGAGTCTTGTGATTTACATTCAGATGTTTGGCAACTGATTCATATTTTTGACAGTCACAGTGTCCCGGGGTCATGTGAAGTGACCAAAACCTGCTGCAACCACCCAGCAGACGGGGGAAGAAAAACCAAACACCCCCCATCCTGCCCCCGCTGCCAATCTTCAACAGAAATGCTCACAACAATGAAAACCTCAGACAGGAGGAAGAGTGCCGCCGGGTGGGCAGGCAGGTGCCTTGCTCGGCTGTGCCTTGGGGGGCACTTTTTTCAGTGCCATTGTAACTTCAAACAGTTACTAAGCGAACTGTTGTAAGTCGAGGACTACTTGTACTTTATCACTTTTTTCCTTTTTTTTTTTTTTGATCATCAAGCTTTTGACACCTTGCTAGGCGACTGGTGGTACTCGGATGTTGCCATATCTTAAAAGTGGTACAATAGGTGAAAAGGTTGAAAAGCCCTAGACTATGAAATATCTGGTCCATATATCAGTTTAGTCAAGAGCAAAAGGGAAGTAGAACTCGTTAGCTTCTGCTAAGCAATTGTTAGTTTTGAAACTTGCTCTAATCAGATATGAGTGTTGAGAGGAAATGACGGGGGAAAAAAGTATCACCCATGACAGTTTTCGAGAGTTTCTAGCAGGAAGCTTTTGAACCAAAGCCAACAACAGCAACAACAAAAGTTTCATACCTATACATTGTATAAACGTGCCATCATGTTTTTAAAAAAACAAATTACAGTCTTTTTCTTTTAAAAAAAATGTAAGTTTGTTCAGAAGGGAAGAGTGTAACTTCCTCCAAAGCTCTGAAACACGGCAAGCACTGACTTGAAAGTCAGAATTTGCCACCCTGGAAATGTATGGTAGCTTTCCTCTAACTAGGCCCGTTAAAGATCTACAGTAGTAACTGTGTAGTAATTGCCTTCACATAATACACTAAGCTTGGTTCCTTGCCTTTTCTAGCGTAAAAACATGGTGCAGTTTATTGCATGAACCAGAGAATAGATTAATTCAGCAACCCAATTAAGCAAACAAGCAAATGGAAAGCTATTCTTAGCCCAGTAGGGGGTCTTTTATTAAATATACACCTTTCAAGATGTGTTGCTAAGAATAACAATCAGAGAGAAATATCCTATATACCTGTAAGCATGCAAGATAAATTGGTCATCTCCGTGGCGACCCTGTAAGAGAACTAAATTTAAAGTAGAAAATTAGTTTATTCTTCTCCGGAGCTCAACAGCTAGTTTATTGGAATGTCTGCTATCTATATATTACATAGAAAAGAATGCCTTGATCATGGAAAAGATAAAAAATTAATAGCAGGATTTTGTACTGTATGTTGAGCCATTGGTGTGTGTTTCCTGGACTGGCTGTTTTATCTGTGTTGAAAAATTTGTTGTCACAAAGAAAAGTTAGGATCATTCGGTTTTCACTGGCTATTTTGGATGAACAGTTTACTTTCTTAGTTCTAGTTCCATGTTGCTCAATCTTGGCAACTTTAAGAGATGTGGAATTAAATTCCTAGAATTCCCCAGCCATCAAGCTGAGAGAAATCCAGAATTCTGGAACAAATTGGGAGAATATCAGAATTCTGGGAATTGACGTCTGTAGTTGCCAAGGTTGAGAAACACGGATCTAATCTATCAATCTAAGCTCTAGTAAGAATAAAATGGGGGCGAAAGGACAGAATAACCCACACTGTCTTAATAGAATAACAGAATTGGAAGGGATCTTGGAGGTCTTCTAGTCCAACCCCTGCACAAGCAGAATGACCCTATATCATTTCAGACAAATGGTTGTCCAATTGTTTCTTTAAAACCACCTGTGTTGGAGTACCCACAAGTTCTGAAGGCAATCCATTCCACTGATTAATTGTTCTATCTCACAGTTCTAATAGGAAATTTCTCCTTAGTTCTAGGTCTTGATAGTTTCTTGACAAGATGTTTGATTATCTCTGTGTTTTAATCACTAGCATTATCTTCTTGGTGTAATTATAATAACTTTTCATATTATACTGAAAAGAGAATTGGCAATAGCCATGTTGGCAGAGACTCATGGAA